TTTGCAGTGAAGCTTTAAAAGAAAACGTATTTTCCAGAGGTGACTATAAGTACCTTTGCCAGTTAACAGTTGTATACTTAAGTGGATTTGTCACGGGATTTCATTTTAAAAGACCTGGTGCCTTCCATCATGGAAGATATCTTGCTAAATCAATCTATAATCTTGTACTTTGTCTTCTTAGTCCACAGCTTGATTCAAATCTTTTTTCTGTAAACGAAATGTCACGTTTTACAGTTTTTGCTGAGTTTGTTGATGTTTTTTATACTTTTTGGTTTTTAAAAGCTCCTTTTGCATGTATGGCTCCAGATATAGATTTACAAGCAATCAGAGATATGGAAAATTATAAAACTAAAAGACCTGATATTGCCCAAGCATGCATTGACGTGATGAAACGACATCATTGGTACCACGACCAGAGAACAGTTATTTTCTCCAAAGCTGACGAGGAACTAATGCCCGAAGTTAGAGAAAGTGATTCTAAAAAGCTGTTTAACAAATTTTCAAAAGCAATACAGCAATCCAATTACTTCGAATCTGTCATCATTTGTAGGAGGCATGAGTTGGTTAGTTTTTGAGAACCTTGGATTTACAAAAAACGATCTTGAATGGTGTCAAGTTAGTTGTAAAGAATGGGGGAAGACAGCACTTACAGAAGATTTAAGGACTGGGTTTTTAAACTACATGTAGTAAATGATCCAGCCGAAAGAGTGATAAAACTTATTCAAGACTACTCGAAAGTGTGTGTAAATGAAGCGTTGAAGCAAGATATTCTTCTATCAATAGCAGAGCATAGAGCAAAACATTCAGTTAGTACCAAAAAAAAATTTGATTAACTTTTGAAACAACATTTTAACAAACCATATTGAATAATATTAGAGTGATAAAGTGATTGATTATGTTTTTGAGTCTATATTTGTGATTCGAATGTTTTTAATCAAAAAAATTGAAAAAAAATTAATTGTCAAATTTTCAAACAAATTCTTTAAATAAAATTCCTATAATATATTGATGGAACAATAAAATGTGATTGTTTACTGCAAGTTTTGTTTCATTGCAAAAATTAACTAAATAAATGCGCAAACTAAGTTGGCACATTAGTAGCATAAAATAAGGAGATTTCAAGAAAACTTCAACGCACTGGAGGAGGTAGTAACTATAACTTTAAATAAAAATTGAAAATGATTTTTTCTATGTACTCATCAAAATGCACTAGAATGTCAATTCTAGAAATCAAATGACAACCTTCAATAATCAAAAATTTTGCGGAAATGGCAGGTGCTAATATATATATATATATATATATATATATATATATATATATATATATATATATATATATATATATATATATATATATATATATATATATATATATGTATATATATGTATATACATATATATATATATATATATATATATATATATATATATATATATATATATATGTATATACATATATATACATATATATATATATATATATATATATATATATATATATATATATATATATATATATATCAGGCCTTGCGATAAAGCGTCGGGCGATGTGAATTTTACGTCGTCCAAGAGCGATTTTGCGTGTAGCTAGGGCTATTTGCGTCGAGCAAAAAAATTTTTGTTTGAGTATATTTAAAGATATTTTTGAGCGGAATTTTAATGAAGTAATTTACGATTATTTTAACATTTAATAAAGTATTTTAAAAACCGCACGCAGTTGAAATAAAAGTTTGAATTAAAAAAATTAAATATGCTCATTATTTACAAGTAGAAAAAATTCAGATTAAAAAAAAAGTTTAAATCTTTTAAGCAAACATTTTAATAAAATTATTCAGTAATAGCAAAGTTGTCGATAAAATTGAACAAAAATACTTTCTTTTAGTTTTAGATTTTAAACTTAAATAATTATTTTACGGGGGTTTGTTAGGTTTTAAAATTATTCCATAGATTTAAAAATATTTATTAACTGTTAGACGTATTTAAAGTATTTAAGAGTAATTTCGAGGAAACATTTTAAAAATTAGTGAGCGCAAATAAAAAAAAAAAAAGGATTAATATTAAAACGTATTCTACTTGATTCAATAAAAAAGTACAGTTAATAAAATTTTTGTAAAAAGTAACTCAAAAAAATTACTTAAATAATAACGATCGCTTTTATGTTAAAAGTTACCAAAACTCAACGAAGCGTGCTCAAAAACAGCTGTTGAAAAATAAAACGTCAATAGTTTTTCAAATAATTTTTAACAATAAATTTTAAGAATAATTTTTTCGCTGAAATATTTTTTTTATACCTATAAGATTTTTATTCTAACATTTTATTTTATTTTACTAGAAATAAAATTCCTTGTTAACATTAAAAATCTATTTAAAACGTTCGTTTAAGTTTTTTATTAATACGAGTGATTGTGCTTATCAACTGCCTTATGAAAATAAACAAAAATAAATAAATATTTTATAAAATCGCTTATAAAAATATTAACTATTGCACAGTTTTTAATCGTTCAATATTAAAATTTCCAGTTTATTACTCGCTGACTTTTTAAAAAGAAAAAATAATTATTTGAAAAACTTTAAATTACATATTTAAGAAAAAAAAATTAAATATTAGCATATTTTATAATCTTTTTTAAATTTAAGTTATAATATTTTTTATTCGTTTAGTATAGACAAAACATGACAAACGTCGAGAAAATAAACAAATGTTTTTACATTTTAAAAAAAGAAATATTCCAAAACATATTTAAATAATAACATTTCTACATAAACGATTTAAAGTAGTTTTGCTGTAATTAAGTAAATTGGTGCAGTTAATGTCGATAAATATGAAAAGCAAATAAAAAGAATTTAATGACGTCAAAAATCACGTCGTGCTAATGCGTCGCGCAGTTCTTATTCATCGCAAGGCCTGATATATATGTATATACATATATATATATATATATATATATATATATATATATATATATATATATATATATATATATATGTATATATATGTATATACATATATATATATATATATATATATATATATATATATATATATATATATATATATATATATATATGTGTGTGTGTATATACAGTGGTTTTCATAAATTTAGACGCACTCATATTTGAGAATAGAAAATTTTAGGTATTTTAACAATAAAACAATGACGAAAAAAGATTTCGGTTTAGTTTTTTTTCTATTTATCAGATAAATACATACAGAATACAAATTAGTAATAGTATTATTAGTAATATTAGTCTTAGTAATAATTAGGTACAACTACATGGTATTAAAAAAATTAGACAAAAAAAATTATTCATAAATTTAGACGCACGATACATTAGAAGGCGTAATTTATGAACCAATTAATATTTTGTGTATCCGCCTTTTGCTTTAATACAACTAAGAACTCTTCTAGGCATAGACTCAACAAGATTTTTGCACATCGCTTCTGGGACCCCATACCAGGTCTCCTTAAGGAATTCCTTCAGCTGACCAAGTGTGGAAATTTAAACCTTTGCTAATTCACGATCAATCCAAGCCCAAATGTTTTCAATCGGGTTCAAATCAGGTGAATATGGAGGCCACGGTATTGTCATAATATTATTATCGTTGAACCACTCCTTTGTATAGTATGCAGTATGTGCAGTAGCGCTATCTTGTTGAAGTTTCCATGGTTTATCATTGAGCATAAGCAGATCAATTGATGGAATTAGGTTGTTTTCCAGTACTTCTACATATATTCTGGAGTTGATTCTTCCGGTGTATGTTTGGCACATACCAACACCTTTGTAATTGAAGCATGACCAGATTCCTATCGAGCCTCCTCCACTTTGTACAGTTGGTCTAATGTACCTGGCGTAATACTTTTCGTGAGCCATTCTTTTGACTGTTATGTTAGATTTGCGATTGATAAGCTCAAAGTTACTCTCATCACTCCACATAATGTTTTCCCATTGATCTATTGTCCAATACCTTCTTTCACGACATCATTTTAGTCTCCTTTGTTTATCATATGGACGCAGAAGCGGTTTCTTCAAAGCAGTGTAGACTCCAATCTTGTATTTGATAAGTATTCGGCGGACTGTGCTTTGAGAAATAGATGTATTTCGCGTTGTATTGAATTCTGTGGTCAATTCTTTGTAACTAATTCTTGGATTAGCTCTGACAGCTCTAAAAAGAACACTATCATCCTTTCTCGTGGTTGACAAGGGTCTACCTGGCCTCGTTTTCTCGCTGGCACCACCAGTGTGAAGAAAGTTTTGTTTCATTGTCCGAACCCATTTCTCAGAAACTCCAATTAACTTGGCGATTTCTCTATTACTTTTGGTTCCTTCTTTGATGTGCGCAATAATTTGCCATCTTTCACCTTGAGTGATACGTCTTTTGCCCATTTTTTACGTTTTTTTAGTGCAAAACTAACTTAACTTTTGTTTATTTATTAAATAATGATTAAATAATTCCAGGTAAGTCATATTTATATAAGGTTTTTTGACAAAATCAATTAATTTAGGCCTATTAATGAGAAATATAAGAAAAAAACTACTAATTAACTATCAATTAACAAGATATAAGACTTTTTTAATTGTGCGTCTAAATTTATGAACAAAATAAAATCAAGTTTATCAATTAACTTTTTTGTGTTAATCGGTATAAAATGAGTAATAAACATCCTGTAAAAAAAATTAAGGTACTCTATAATAGAGTTTCATTTCCTCTTTTAAATTATATATCAAACATAGCGGTAGCACTTTTATTTTATTTTTATTTTGAGTATTTTCTTACATATATGAAAAAAAAATGAATGCGTCTAAATTTATGAAAGCTACTGTATATGCATATATATATATATATATATATATATATATATATATATATATATATATATATATATATATATATATATATATATATATATATATATATATATATACACATACATAAAAATTATATCAAAAATTTAATTTTAAACTTTAAAGATGCAAGCTTTACTCTATCTAAATAATACCGTTCTGCAGGTGATGTCTTTAACTTTTCAAAGCAGTGAGAACAAAACCTGTGACCACAAGCCATAATTTGAACTGGTTCTCGAACCACAAACAAACAGATACCACATTCCATATCGGATGGAATTTCATATACAAAATCAGCATCATAACCATCCATTTTTTACTTTACTGAACAAAACACATCAAAATTAACATTAGTTTAGTTAATTCCTATTTTGTTTAAGGATTTGTAACAGGTAGATTATAAAACTAAAAAGAACAAAAATATGTTTAAATTTTGATAGCATATTGAATTCATGATAGGAGTCATCACCAATAGCTTTTTTAAATAGAAGAGTTCACCTTGTTTTACCTAATCACAGTTATAACTTATTTTAACAAATGAAATGTCTCCCTTATCAGCATGTGTCAGCCTATCAGCATGTAGAAGAATGCAAGATTTTGTTAATACAAAATTTTGCCTCTTTTTGATGTTATATAAGTACTTGTATCTGAAATTGATACTGATGTAAACATAAGCATCTCATAATAACATTTTCTACTATGAAAACAATGATTTTATTATTTAATAACTCACAACATATTAAAAAGTTTGTATTAAAATTAAATAGCATTACACCAGGTAAAAAAGAATTTTAAAAAAATTGTTTGAGCAATCTTGTGTAAAGAAAAACTGTTATTGGGGGTTATTATGGTTGATTTCTTTAAATTGTATCAGCAAGAGTCTGGTTACTATCCAAATTTTGTAACTGTTGTAAAACTTATCAAATATCTAGCATATACATCATCTATAACATCTGTACATCTGTCTATATAATCATTTTTCAATTAATGTTTCTTTCCAGTCAATTTTTTAATTTGCCATAGCTAAAAACATTGCCATAGTATGGAGTATATAGGTATCTGTAAAATATGGCCATAGTATGGACAAAAGCACCATAAGAATATTAACACATAATTAACCCTTTCAGTACACTGGACCTTCTTCACCATCATTATCATCTGCATAATTATCACCACCATCATCATAGTAATCGAAATTGTAATCGTTATCCTAAAAATTAAAATATTGCATTATTGAATCATGCATTGCATTATTGAATTGCATTATTGAAAAATGTTGCATAATTGAAGTATTCTTTGTTATTATTTTCTTTATTTGTTTAGTTTTTTATCTATAGCATTTTAAATTACTTATATATTTTTTAAATTACATATATTATTTTTTCATTAAATATATTTTTTATTTTCAAATATTATTTTCTAACTACATATATTATTTTAATTTTTAATTACACATAATACATAGATGAGTATTTGACTTTATGAAAATCCCGGAAATTTTTTTTCTATGATAATCCCGGAAAATTATTTTATTAAAAATTGATCGCATTTAACTGACAAACAGAATTTAGATTATTTAACTTTTTACAAAAAGGGATTTCTTATATTCGAAAAAGTTTGAATGAATTAAAAAAGAAAAAAAAAAAAGAAAAAAGAAACAAAATGGTTACGAAAATTGATCTCGTGAAAATTTTAATTATAGAAAACATATTTGTTTAAATGCAAAATTTGTTGGATGTAAAATTTTATGTAAAAATATATTAACTTTTTTTCCCATTAATAACAAAAACATCCGGAAATTACTGGAAAAATTAAAGGTGTTTTAAGTGAATTTCCGGAATTCCGGGAATTTCTGGAAAAAACTCATCTATGATAATATTTTTAAAAGGCAAAACTACAACTATTGATTATAGACAACTAGTCCTTTGATAAGGAGTGAAGAAAAGCTCTCTTAAAACAAACATGGCGAGTCATGTTTGTTTTAAGAGAGTTTTAAGCCATGTTTGTTTTAAGCTTTTGATTTTTGCACAAGCTATCTAATTTTTTATTAAAAAATTACTTATTAAATACAAAATTTGGTTTTATACTTGTTATAAGCATATATTTGTAACATTAATGTTACAAAAAAATATACATAACAAGCGTCATTTATTAGACTGATAAAATTTTTCAGACAAGCATTGTCTCATGGTTTTCAGACTAGCTATCCATTTATTTATTAACAACACTTATTTGATAAAAAAATTTAACAAAGAGCTATAAAAGTTTTTATTGCTTATAAAAAATGTTTACCATTTTCTTATTGTAATAGAATGCAGGCATTTTAAGCATTATTAGAACAATTAAAAATACCACAAAGATAATAAAATAGGTTTGGCCAGGAAGGCATGCTATTTCACGCCATAAAATTAAGTTTATTAATTTTTAAGCGCTCAACCACTACTAGTTTTAGTTAAGTAACTTAACTAAAACTAGTAGTGATTGAGCGCTTGCTTCATAAGCGAGAGGTTCCGAGTTCAATTCCCACCACGCCCCTGGTAGTACTGCGCTTAACTTGTTTCTCCGCCCAACGGCCTTGTTGTCAAGGTTCGTGTTTCGGAGTTATAAAGTTGAGAGAGAGTTATAACTACGAGTAGCCTCCTCATCTGTAGTGGCCTTCACAGCCATGGAGAGGTGAAATACAAATGTATGTATGTATGTATGTATGTATATATATATATATATATATACATATATGTATATATATATATATATATATAAAATTTATGCATACCTATAAATATATAAAAAGATTTATGATATATTTATATATATATATATATATATATATATATATATATATATATATATATTTATATATATATAGTAACTATAAATATATATATATATATATATATATATATAAATATATATATATATTTATATATATATATATATATATATATATATATATATACATATATATATATATATATATATATATATATATATATATATATATATATATATATATATATATATATATATATATATATAATATTGATTAATACTTTATATAGAAAATCATTAGTAGTGATTTGTTACTTTATCTAAATCCGTTTCAATAATATAAACACATAAGTAAAAATTAAAGTTATTTAAATTAAATAGCTTGCAAATAAATTTGTCTTTTTTTTCTTCACAACAAAACTTTTCTTCTTTTCAAGTGTATTAACTTAAATGATTCTTATATCAAGTTTTTTTAAATTGCCGCTTAAAAAATTAATTTTTTTTTTTGAATTTTTTTTATTATACAAGAAATTTTTTTTTAAAATCTTATATAATTAATAATATAAATAAAAATTTATACAACTTTCATAGATACTTTATTTAAAACCATAAGTTACTTTATTTAAAAGCATTTTTCTAATATAAAAGCTTTAGTAAAATGGTATTTTTAAAAACCATGGTCAAATCATCAAAACAAAGTATTATTTGTGTGGTCATATTATAGCAAGAAATCACATGCCTTCCAGGATAAGCCTGATAAAATATTAAAGTAAATATTATATAAAAAATATAACTCATTACATAAAATAAAAATTATTATGCAATAATTTAGAGTGTAATACTTTTATTTTTTATTAATATAATTTAGAGTGTAATAATTTTCTATTTATCAAATAGTCCAATTTAATCAAAAACACTCATCAAATCAGCGCTCTTTTTTAATTTTTTTTTTTTTGCAACAACCGCGCATTTTAAAAAGCATTGCAGTTTATTATGCAATTAATTTATTTATTGTAAAAAATATGACTGGTTTTCATTTTAGATACAATGATAATTATACTTTTGAGAGAAAAAATTATACTTTTGTGAGAGCTGTAAATTGCTCCCGTAAACCATTTCAGGGGAGTATGGGTGAGAGCGAGCTCTAAAGCTCTCCCTTCTTTATTTACATATAAAAGTAAAACATTAAATTATATACACATGAAAGTAAAAAAATATCTGAATTATTAAAATAAATGTTACTGAATGTTAAAACTTTGCTATTTACTTAAAACCATTTAAAATTCATTAAAAAAATTGAAAATTGAAAAAATAATTCTTTTTACATCTTCTGAAACATCAACTTCCTCTTCTTCATCTTGAGCTTCATCTTCTTCATTTTCTTTTTCTTCTCCTTTTTCTTTACCCTCTTCTTTTTCTATTTCTTCTGTGAGCTTTGATTAATAAATAAACATTACTCATCAAAAAGTTTTATTTTCTAAAGACTAAAAAACACATAATAAAATCATGAGAAAATTACCTCAAGTTTTTGCACAATGTCATCTGTGGAAAGATCATCGATAAGTCTGTTAACTTTTTTTTTTACAGGCTTTTCTTGAGTTGCTAAATAACACAATGTTACAGATTTTTAGAAAGATTTTACTCACTGTAATATTTTTATTGTTTATTAATTAATTTGCTCTGCTAATTCAAAAAATGTATAAATTTTTTGTGAATCATTAACTGTTTTAAAGTTATAACATTTTATTAAATGCAAACCAGCAATTGAACACTTATATATCATCAGCGCCTCAAAAATCTTTTTGACAAGAAGTTTTTTGTGTGCTTCTCTTGATGTCTAGGCTTGGATAAAGTTAAAAAAAAATTGTAGTATACAAGACATAATAATGCATATATTGTAGACACAGAAATACACTATTAATAAGTACTTTAAAAATGAGGTTTTCTGCTTTCACATCATAAAATCTTTCATAAAACATATAAAAAATGCTTTGGATGTTCAAAGAGTTTTTTTTATAAACATCTCAAGCTACTATATGTACCTAATACATTAGGTAAGTTATGTTCTTCTCATAATGGGTACTAGAAGATGTTGAAAATCCTCAGGTGATCAAGATAAACCATGGGCTTTTCATGTTATATATGGAATCCTCCAAACAACTCTAGCAGCCTGAGTACGAGGTAGAAGGAGCGCAATGTCTTTTTCCCAGATTATGGAAAGACCCATTGCAATGGCTGTTGAATGATTGATATTACAAAAAACAGGAAAGCTAAATGGAGACAAGCTCTTCAATATCCAGACATACCACCATCTACAGCACCTGTCCCACATGATGACAGCCTACCACAACCACGACAAAATGTAGACCTTGTTAAAAAGGATTAAGCTGTTTTCATTTTACAAATGAAATGGTAATTTTAACAACGCGTCAATTTATTAACATTATGCCAAAACTTTTATTAATTTGAATATATAAAGTTTTTGAAAAAGTTTATGTGGAAAACATTAAACATTAACTAATTTTTGTAAAAATATTTTTTTCTACAATCTGTTTTAAAAAATTTTTAATTTAAATTTGTTTAAATTTATTTTAAATTATATTTAAACTAAATTTATTATTGAATATTATTAAATTTAAATTTATTTTATTAATCTTAATTTTAATTTTTTTAAGATTTAAAATGCTCCTTTTTACAATATATTTTACTTTTAAAATTTCCAACTATGTTAAAGAAAAGAAAATTATTTTTATCAAATTTAAGTTTCAAGTGAACAATTTTTTTCATATCGTTATGAAAGTGCTAATATACAAAAGTGCTTTTTTTTTTTTTTTGTTATTCACCTTCTTAAGGCAAGGTTACTACAGACGAGGAGGCTACTTAATTGTGGTTATAACCCTCTCTTAACTCTATAACTCCGAAACACGAATCTTGACGAACAAAGCCGCTGAGCGGAGAAACAAGTTGAGCGCGGTACTACCAGGGACGTGGTGGGGATCGAACTCGGAACCTCTCGCTTATGAAGCGAGTGTTTTACCACTACACCACTACCGCATTGGTAGTGTGTAGGATACAGCTTATAACTGTATATAAATACAGCTTATAACTGTATATAAATACATTGCTAGCTAAACCATAATCAATCTTGTAGGAAAAATTATTTTGAAGAATTTTTTTAGCAAATTTTATGTAACAAATTTATAGATGATTTTTTTTTAGTTTTAAAATTGCTTTTTAACAAAAGGTTTTTCATTATTATCAATTTTTTAGATTGATTGCAGAATGAACATCAATCTAAAATGATTAACTAGTTTATGAGTAGAATGCGAAGAATTTGCTAAAGCCAAAATATTAAAAAAAAAATTGTTAATAGTTTTTTTTTTTTTTTGACTGTTAAGAAACTCACTCATAAACAATTGCCCCTTCATTTAAAAAAGAACACAACTGAGAAAACAAACATGAGACGATAATGTTGTGTGTTATGAAAGTTTTAAGAATCAAGTAATAATGATGACATATCCAGAAATTTTTGAGGCATCTAGTCTAAATATCTTATCTACATTTTGAGGGGATTTTTTTTTAGAAGACAAATGCTATATTTAAATATAATATACCTCCCCCTAATATCTGGCAATTGCATAAATTGCACTAAATTAAATTTTTCAAAATAAAATTAAAAAAAAAATAAACAAAATAGTAATTAAAACATTAATTTTGTTTAATTTTTTAGCTTTCCCGTCAATATCGTTGTCTAATTTTTTGCCACTAATTTTTTTTTTATATGCTTTATAACATATTAACATTTAATAAACAATATATTTATATATTTTGCTTTTAAATAGATTTAAAAGATTCATTTTAGGCCTAGAAGAAAAGAATAGACATTTTACAATCAACAATTTAATTGTTTTTTAAAGGGTCTAATTTTAAGTTTATCTTTAAGTATACTAGGTTTTGTGTTTTAAAAAACTTTGCAAATTTATTGATTGAAACTAAAACATCAGCTAGTAAATGCAAAAATAATTGATATTAGACCGTCCAACTCCTCGTACTTCTCATTAATAACTGCATCAAGGCTGTTTATAACTTGTTAAAACCTTGACACGAGTCGTACTGAAGAAACACCATGAAATAACCATTGTGTTAGACCAGATTTAAGTAACTTCACTGGTTTTAAACCATCAGTACTTTGCGATGCATCAAATATTGAGATTTTGATGCCATTTTCTATTATTTTGGGGGTTTGGAACATTTCATTTGCTTCTAAACCACCAAAATATTTGCATCAAAATTAATTAGGACATCAAATTCTTTCATTTAATATAAAAACAATTAATATACTACAAGTAGGGGAAAATTGTTTTTAGCTTAGCTTGTAAACCACTATGCACCCCAATCATTGTGCTAGTTCCATCAAAGCCATGTTAGCACAGTTTCTAGATATCTATCAATTTAGATATTTAAATTTGTTGTATTTTTTATTTGTAATATTGGTTGTAATCAGAAGCGACATATCTAATGACAACTGAAAAGACCTATCCACCGTGCCACTCATCTCATTAGCCAGAACACTAAAGCCATAGGCTAAAACAATTTTTGTACAAACCTCATTATCTAAATTATTACTTATTATTTTGATGAACTGATCAACACTAACTGCTGATGTGTATGTTGCTCTTTGCTAGTAATTTTAATCTCCTTATCATCAAGATCTTGAATAAATTTAACCATATAACTAAAGTTTTTCTAACTGTTTAGTTCTTTTAATTACAAATTAAGTTTTGGTTGCGCTGTTTACCTGCAATTCTGTCTTTGTTAGCTGCCATCAACCATCTGTTTGTATACAGTTCTTTTAAAAGCATTTTTTTGACCTGTTGACGCTTTTT